CGGTCCAATCAGTCTTTGGCTCTTTCGAAATCTCCTCCTTTTAGGCTTGAATCTAAGAGTCCTCTAGTTGAGCTCTGACCACCCTATCAGTCTAAGATGGTTGCACAGACAAAGCTCCCAAAAACGCGCTGCTCCCGCCAATCTCCAGCCTAAAATCAAACTGGCTAAGTGTGTGAAGATCTCGATACAATGAGCACCTCAAAGCTAAAATCCGATGTTGACGCTTCCTGCTCAACGTGTCCGCTATGATGTTCGCCTTCCCCGGATGGTACTGAATTGCAAACTCGTAATCTTTAATAAACTTAACCCATCACCGCTGTCTCTAGTTGAGTTCCTTCTGAGAAAAGAGGTACTTTAGATTCTGGTGATCCTTGAATAGCTTGAACTGCACTCCATAAAGATAGTGTCTCCACATCTTTAGTGTAAAGACCATTGCTGTTAGCTCCAAGTCATGTGTGGGATAGTTCTGCACATGCATCCTCAACTACCATGAAATGTAAGACACAAATATCTAGGTCTACGTCAAAATACCTCCTAGACTTGATAATGATGCATGCGTGTAGACGACAAAGGTCTTATCACTGCTCGGGATAATCAATACCGACGTTGTAGTCAACTTAGTCTTCAAGGTCTCAACTGCTTCCTGACACTCCGTGCTCCAAACAAACTGTACACCCTTGTTCATAAGGCATGTAAGTGGTGTCATAATCTTTGAGAAGTCCTGAATGAACTTCTTATAATAGCTAGCCAAACCTAAGAAGCTATGAATATCTGTAACGGTCTTCGGCGGCTCCCAATCAAGTACTGACTCAACTTTCACTAGATATACTGCAATACCCTTCTTGCTAATAACGTGGCTCAAAAATCTAACCTCAAATATCCAAAACTAGCATTTGTTGAACTTAGCGTACAACTGATGCTCCCATAAAGTTTGTAATGCTAATCGAAGATGCTGCTCGTGCTCTACCTCCAATCTCGAATAGATAAGGATGTTGTCAATAAATACGATCATGAACTGGTCCAAATATAGACGAAAAATCTGGTTCATCAAATCCATAAATACCACAAGTGCATTGATCAGCCCAAA